TTTTTTAACTAATTTTAAAAGGCAAAAAAAATAAAACAAAATTTTTTAATTTTTTTTTAAAAAGGGTTTTTTTTTTTTTTTTTTTTTTTTTTCCAAACCTGGGGGTTTACACAGATTTCCTTCGTAAACAGTAGAGTTGCCTCTGAAATGTATGACTTGGGTGAAGCATTTTGGGAGTCTTTCGATAAGCTTCTCAAAATAGTCTGAGGTAAATCTGGCCCATTCTGTCTGAAAGCCTTTGTGTAAGTCAGGCAGTGTTGTGGCCGCCTTGTTCACACATAGCAGCTCTGCTTTCTTTCTCTAGGCCTGAGATCAGGGCTTTGTGACGGCCACTCCAAACCATTAACCTTGTTCACCGTAAGCAACTTTGCAACTAATTTGGAGGTTTTGGGGGATTATTGTGCATTTGGACAACCCGAGCTGTAGCCCCCAGATGGATGTTTTGAGATGTTGCTTCAATATTTTCATATGACATTCTTTCCCCATGAGGTCTATTTTGTCAAGTCCATAAGTCCCTGATGCAAAGTGATGGCTTTTTACTCTGACTAAATTTTCAGTCCATCCCAGTACAGAACTTGTTTCACGGTGGATAGTACTACTCTCCTTACAGCTTTGCTGTAACTGTACAAGGTCTTTTGCTTTTCTTCTGGGATTGATGAGCACATTTTGTTAGAGAACATATTCATCTCAGAGACACACCGGCTTCTCCTCCTTCCTGAATAATATGATGCAGCATTGTCAGAACACTGAAGTAGCTTTCTTAACCTATTTTCCCCATGTGTTGAGCAGAATATTAAGTCTATTCTCCAGAAAAACACATAAGATATATCACATTGCCTTTGACAAAGTATGAGACTGGACCTTCATCAGAATAAGTCTAAATCTAAATGACAAGATTAATATTTGTGAAAAAAAAATAAACAAACAAAAAACTAAACTTTTAGTATTATCTATGGATATTTAAAATATTTAGCATCAGTTACTGCCAATTTAATTTATGTAATAACTAAAACATTAATACACAACCAAACAAATGTACAAAAGAGAACACACTAGAATAGAATAGAATAGAATAGAATATTCCCATGGCTGTGACACTAATATTTTTATGGGAGAGAAATAAAACGTATATTTATTTCTGAATTAATTGTTTTAATGTTTTCATAGGGATTATTCTTTAATTTGAGGATATGTATTTATTTATTACTTGTTAAAGAATATAACATGTAATATTTTAAAACATATAATCACTGTAAGCTATTGTGTTATTGTTAGACTAGCAAAATACATCAAACTAGACTGTATGGTGAACATTGACATTTGCAGTGGAAAAAAAAACATTCATGTTTGTCTGAAGGCAAGTTTGGTTGTTTTACCTCATTCAGAAAAATTTCATTTAAAGACCTATATAGCACAACCATTTTGGATCTCACCCTACATTATAATATGAACTCACTCTACCTCTGAATGAAAAAAAAATAGGGCTAGGGCTTAATGGCAGAGGGAATGGGTGAAATGGCCTCTAGGTAAGTGTAAAATTTGGACAAAAACCCTGAGACCAGATAGGGGCATACCTAGATTATTGGATTCAGACTGTGAAAATAAACAAAGAGTTTTGTTTCATTCCAAGGCAAAGGTACCCAATAATTTCTTGTTATATCACTGCCTAAGGAAAACAAGTAATTTAATCCTGGTTGTAAGTGAGGAAGGATTAAAAGGGACCATTTTGCAAAGGTAGCAGAAAGCAAACCTGCTCTCCTGACCTCTATCAACTCAATTTCCCCACTGCACCTCATTGGATTAAAGGGGTAAGTATTCATGCAGCTATAATATGTAAGCGAAACCTGTAAAGAGTGGGGCCATTTCTAGATGCACAATCTTAGTTTGCAGATTCCCCTGTTTAACACCCCGAAAAGCCCATTAATAAACAAATGCCTGTGCTGTCACTTAAATGCCTAATGAATGCATTATTGATCAGTCTGCACCTCACTCCTTAAGACCACCATATAATCACACCCGCTTGCATTCTCTGCTGGCTGGCTTCCTGAGAACCTGCTACCCTGAGGCGATTAAAGCCTTGACAAGGACAAGCTCAGCCGTGGTCAAAGAGCAAACCCACACGGCTGCAGTCATTGTACCAGAAAGCCCCTCAAGCTGCAAAAGATGTAGGAAAGTATTAGAGTAATTCTAATTCTAAACTTATCTTAAGAGAATAAAACATAAGGTGAGGCGAGGATATCAAAAACATAACTCTCAGAGGCAACTGCAACGTCTTCTGTCTTTATTTGACTTGCATGCAAAGAGATTCAGTTTGATGTGAGAGAGTAGAAATAGAACCCAATGACCAATAATGAAGTCATAAAAATGACAGTGAAGGATTGTTATCAGGATGCTGCTATACTCTTAACTTTGGGGGCCGTGCTCTTCTCAAGTTATTGAATTTTGCAGTAATTTAAGTATCGGGAGTTATGCCTCTCCAGCTTCTAACCAGCTACGTCTCGGGTTGTTAATTTTTGTCATTGTTAAACAACTTCAATTAAAATGCACTTGCTCATATAGTAAAGCATGTGGCAGGCTGGGGTTATGAAACAATGTGCAATCTTTAAGAACTATGCTAAATCACATCGAACTTGATCATTTCAAATAAATTATTTCGCATTAGTGGGAAATGAGATCTTATAGCATGCTAAACAGAATTAGAAGGAAGCAGCGGTCTGGTAGGTTTTATCTGTGCACCACTGGTAGTCACCATCGGTTCTAGTATTTACTCTTTTTCTAAGGAGGTATAAAATGTAACATGAAATGTCATAAGAAGGACAAAGGAGTCAGGAAATAAAGACACTCACGAACACACAAGTCTCCGCTTTCAAAGTAACCAGGGCAACACTGTGAGCGGCGCCTATACATGGTCCTTACTCCCCGCCGGTAAGCCGTCTTATAGCTGATCCTGGAAAATTAGACACACAGAGACAGCTGCATGATACAGAAAAAAGTCCCCTATCTGAAGGTCAGGAAACATATAGAAGGTAAACGTTACTTGATATTTACTCATACATGGCAAAATACTAGAGAAAAACACATAGGAATATTAAGCTGAGGACGGGTCAGAATTATAGGAATTACGTTTTCTACATACAAACCAGTGTTCACAAGGAGAATCTGTCTTTTGCACTTTTAGAATCCCACTACAGAGCATTTGAAACAGAGCAACATATTCAAAACAGGATGATTACCACCTAAGGTATCTGACCTTTTCTCAGCCAGACACCTGAACAAAAACATTCATTTTAGCTTTTTTAGACTTGGTTCTAATTTTTGGTAAAATAGAGCTACAGGAACTGAGAAACTTTTTCTTTTTTTTTCTAAACTTACCTATGCCTGGTGCATTTAAACCAGTTTAGGATGTCTGTGCATCTTGTGTAATAGATCTGGTCAAATGGGTGAGCGTAGGACTCCTGGACGGTCACTGCATAGCTGAAAGACAAACATATAAAGACAGTTGTGACACAAAGGACTGCACTGTGTAGTAGCATAAAGTTTTGAAGAAATTTTACACTAGTAAAGAAAAACTGCAGTTAAATGTGCAGCTATTACTAAGTGAAAATACATTTATCAAGCCAGTTTGTCTTAAGCAAGGTCACGTATGTCTAAAACCTAACCCGACAGCTGCTATTCAAGAGACATGTACCCTAGGCAGTATGACAGTCCATCAACAAGATAAACGGATGAACATTTATTTCTGCAGTTGGTTAGTAATCAATAAATTATCTAACATGCAATTGGAGATTGGGGGTCCAAATATGGGTGAGAAAAACATGGCAACTGTGGCTTTGTAAACAGCCTTCTGAAATTTCTCTGCATAGGCCAATATGAAGGGGTAGCAGTTAGTATTGTTGCTTCACAAGAAGATTCAGAATGGTGTTTACAAAGCTACATAAATATGTACAAGCTATGGCTGCTTGATTATGGGAAAAATAATCTCACAATTAAATCAATATTGAAAAGGCAATATTGAAATCATGATTAGAATAGTAAAATGCCTTGTTGAGTCTTACTGTAAAAAAAACTGACAAAGTATTTATTCAAATGTTAACTGTTGCATTCAAAGTAAACAAAAACTAGCCATTTAATGTGCTTTATTTTTTTATGTAAAAATCTAAATTGTGAAGCAAACAAATGAACTAAAAAGTAGTTTGTTGCAATTGATAAAAAAGTAAATTTGTCAAAACACTTTTATTCACATTTTAGTGCAGTAAACTATTAAAAGACTATCTATATGTATTCAAAATTGAACTGCACACTTCTTTACACAATATGCAATTATTTAGCTGCCAAATTCAATAATTGTTTATTATCTTCAACTGCGTTAAAGCAGGACTCTTCAGGTAGTGGGGTGCCTACGCCAGTGGAAGAAGTGGCCTACTCAGGGCACCCTAGTGTACAAAGCTGAGAAGAGATTGAGATGTAGACAGTCCAAAGAAAAACAGTGGAGACTGGCCAGTTTTATAGTGAAGTAGATATACAAGCCAATAAGGAGAGAAAGTAAACTAATAAAAATTCACCTCAAAAACTACCGCATTTTCGGGACTAGAGCGCACCTTACTATAAGCCGCATCTACAATAAAAAAATAATAATAATAAAACTGGAAACGTACATATATAAGTCGCACCAGGCTATAAGCTGCTGGTATCTCTGCTGCTCTCGGCGTTGGAGACCATGGATTCGTTTACGCTGAGCTTAAGTCCAGAGGTTATCGATTTGTAATGCCAGATCTTTAGCCTTCAACTTAAAAGCGGCATTATATGAACTTCTTCGTGTGGTTTCCATGATGAGGAGGTCTGAGTTTGAAAACATTTCTCAGTCGTGCCTGCTGCTAGCATATGCTTGCTCTAAAATAAAATTTAGCACTTTCTTCTTTGATTTCCAATTTTGACTTCCAATGATTCACTTCCTGCTAAAGAGCCCCCTGGTGGTTGAAGAAAAATCCACAGAAAAGCAGCACCGGGCTATGAGCCGCATAATATATTGTGTTATTTCTTTGTTTTTCTTTGTACTTGTAAACAAAGATGTTCATTAATAAAATAATATATATATATTTTTTAAAAAGCCACACAGTTCAAAGCGTGGAAAAAAGGTAGCGACTTATAGTCCGAAAAATACAATAGTATTTAAATGTGATATTTTTATGTCTTATATTTCTATTTTTAAGATTTTTTTTTTGCTTTGATACTTTCTATGTTTAATCTGAATAAAGCATTTATTTTTTACAAACTTTGTTACAGTCAAAATGAAAGTAATAGCTGCCTTTGATCCTTGTTTGAACACAGAACCTGAGACATCCAAACTGAAAGTATAGTAATAAATTTGATATGCAAAGAAAGTCAATTTTTATGATGTTTGCAACCAATGCCTGAGGATATTGGAGGACCGTAAAGCCACAGACAAAGCCCACTTAGGAAATTCATTCTGATGCCAACAAGGTGGAACCACAATGCCTAAGTACCCTCACCTTGATCGGGCAATCATCCCAATAATACATCTTCCCAGTTTTCGTTCCGCCCTGTGCCTTAAGGACAGAAATTATTGCTGCTTATTTCTCATAAGTGACACTGCCCAGCACAGCTCATTATTATTCAGGCACTTTGGCTGTCATGATTGATTGGGATGAATTTACACTGATCAATCCGTCTGCATATTTCATTTGACGCTTTAAACTCTTCCCATCCCTGTCTTCAGCTGTGTGAGGTCAATACTGCTGCACCGACTTAGATTGAAGGATGTATAGTAAATTGAAAGGTCCAGTCTGACTCTTAGATTTCAGCAAACTAACAGAGTATATATACGCTGGTGACAAGAGAACTATTCTCACCTCTCCCAGTGGCTGCAGACATTGGGGTCATCAGGGTTGAGACTTAATGCACTAGTGGTGAAGCCGAGAACGAGGAACCAAGCCAGACGGACAACTGATGACCCCATCCTTCTCTCTGAGAGAAAAAAAAGAAAAGAAAAACATAATATTGATTTAGAGATCAACACTTAAACTGAGTCGATACCGCAAATGTACATAGCCCCACTTACAATATGGTAGTTTTGAAAATGTGAATACCTTTAATTTTGGTAATAGTTTTCAGTTCACTTGTTTTATATCCCTATGCAAGCTCATATTTTAAGTGCAAGGGATATCAAAATGACTCGAGGGAAAATCTGGACATGATTCAGTGAAAAATAGCTTCGGTCATCATGAGACTTTGGACAAATTTTTGAAGTAGATGACTTGGTGCACAGTGTTTGTGAGACTGAGGTAAAACATTTGCCATGCCTTCATACCACACGTTATACAGTCAACACAGTAACATTGATGAAAACTGTAAATACATGAAAATAAATATTAGATTGGCACAATAGTAACAACATGAAGAAGAGCTCTGAACAACAGATATTACAAGTTGTTTTAAACAAGATATCCAGACTAAAAATAAAAATTAATCAAACTCATGTAATAAATCAACCTGCATAAAACAAGATGTCACAGTAGGTTTTTTTCAGTTCATGTTGTTATTTTCTGATTAATCTCAATTTTACAGGATAAAATTTGCACTTGCAACAAGCAAACATCTCCTTTATGTGCATGTGGCACAGAAACATGGTAGTGGGTGTTCGTTTGCAAAATTAAGTATTGCTACATAGAACATATATAAAAAATATATTGCGTATTATATTTCCATTATTAATTCACATCTGTTCCTCACAAGAGTTTCTTTGTACTCTGTATGTCTGAAGAAAGGCCACCAAACTATATGTTGAAAATGCAGTGGTTGCTTAATAAATCTTGAAGTATGTGAAAGTGGGTTATGAAGAGGACCAGAGGTCTCATTTATAAAGCTGATGGACATACAAAACGGTGGCAGAAACTTGCATACGTCCCTTTCCGCACAAAGGCTAAATTTGAAAATATGCGGTCCCGCACGACAACTCGGACTCATGCATACCATACATGCTTGTTTTGGAGATGCAGGGAAATTCAAATTCAATACAAATTCAAGACTACTTTATTGATCTCAAAGAGAAAATAAATGTTGCCATAACTGATATTAATTCATGGTTCTTCAAAGAATTGTGATGGCTGTGGGCAGGAAAGATTTCCTGTAGCAGTCTGTATGATGGCAAATATGCAGAAGCCTCTGACTGAAGACACAGATGGTGAGGTGGAATTCTGATTGAATCTTCTCCATGATTCCCTCAAGCCTTTGATTACATGTCAAACTCAACTACAGATTACAATAAGCATTCAAAAATGCACTCTGATATATGTTTTGAGAACCATAATAAATGAGAAATTTTCAAATAAAACAAAATATCTCACTTAAATGTGTTCCCAGAGAGCAGGAGAGGTGCACACCTGTATCAGTATTCACACTGTGGCACACGCCATTGGCCTCCTAAAATGCCGGTGGTGGTGTGTAAACTTTATGTCATACCAAGAATGTTTTTTTTTCCTACTCTCCACGTCACCCATATCATTTTGTGGTTCTGTGAAACTGTATTTCCACTGTTCTCCGTTGTTAAAAATTAAATAAAAAATTGAGGCGCTTGACATTCTTCAAGTAAGCAGTAGGTATAGCAGTATCAAAGCCTGTGCTTAACCACCTGATTTTTGTTGGATAAATAAACAAAGTTTTCACAAACAAGTGCAAGAATATTTCTGAAATTTCTAATTAATCAAAAATGGCTGATTAATTGATCTAACTTTCTTTCTACTTGTTTTCAGTAAAAGAGCAAGCCACCTGGCTGCTGTTAGAAGGGAGACTTCCAAGCAGGCAATTTTCCACAATTATTGGTTTAAAGTTGGGAAAATAATTTCAATTCTAAAAGCTATTTATAATTAGCCTGGGTGGCAAAAGGGACCAAGTAAGTCAGAGGAGTTAAAAGCTAATTAGTTAGTTGACATTTTTGGTGGAGGGCGATATGGACTAAACATTGAACAGAGACAATACAGATGAGCACAAATTTAGATAGGGCCATAATGTAAATGACAAGCCACAATCCAGTGGAAGCCATTAATTTTGGCTGTTCTCGGCAGACTCCATCAGCCAGAGACTCACAAGAAGAAAACAGTGAAGTAGAAAAACAAAATTATTTTTTTAACTACATAAAAAGTCATTGACATGCTTCATTTTAAACAAGGTATTTTTCCAGAAAAGTAATGCAACATATGCTGCTTTAGCATATGCTGGGTTATTCACCCAAAACGATACAATAATTTGCTTCTTATTTTTACACAGCCAGTGCTGAAGCCAAGACGTAACTACAAAGGCTAAAAACTTTGAGAACACAGTCTCACAGCCAAATATAACCTGAATGACCTGATGGGCTTATCTGGTTCCTCTACTGAGAAGACATGGTAATGCAGAAGTCTCTTAAATAATTTTGGCAAGTCCCAGCAGTGAAAGTAAGAGCATAGAAAATAAGAAAACAGCAGGAGATATTGAGATTAAAACAGCTATGTCACCTCAAGAAAACATGTCTGCAGATAAGCAACAGACTGCTGGGAATGCAGAGATTGGATTGTAAAGCAACAGAACATGTGGCCTTCCGACTGACAACAACTGTCCAAGAATGGTGGGAGCATTAGAGTAAGAAGAGCAGCATAAGATGAATAATCAATTTCTGATAAGTACTTATTGAATATGTCTGCAAGGGCAGTGTTACAATCAGGCTTTGTTTCAGTCAGGTAAACACTGAGCAACTGGGGCCAGCTCAGTACATGTTTTTCTAAAATGAGCAGTTCTTTCTATCAGCAGGTGAACCTCTGATAAGGATGCAAGTACATTTTAAGATGAAAACTGAGTTTCAATGGTGAAAAGTGAATAGACCGCTACAAATGTTTTGCTCTGTTGAGAGTAATTGCGATTAGCTACAAAAATACTTTAAATTTCAGCCTTAACCCTCTCGCTATGCAAAAGGAAAGGAAGATAAATAAGCTTACCTTCCCAGGTTCTGAAATTACTCAAATGTAATACTTCTTGTTAAAAAAAAAACAACATTGCAGACTTTATGCTATTGTATAATAAATTCACATTAATCTAAAAGAAAAAGGTTTTTTTAAAACTAAGTACAGTCCAAACACTAAACATATACAAAATGCATACTACCAGCAAATGAAACAAATCGAAACGCTACCATAGTGTGCTAACAACAATGCCCTTCAGTGTGGTTGCTGTTACAATGGGAAGAAGAGATAGCTGGCTATTTTTGTAAGCAAGGTGTTTAAAAGGGTTCGTTTTTTTTTCTGTTTTTGTTGTGAATGTTCTGTAACCTCCGTGTGTGACTGCAGGTCTTGGCTAGGATTCCGTAGCAACATATTTTGTTTTATTTCAATGGAATTTTCCTGTTGAAATAAAGGTTAGATAAATAAAATAAATGCAACAAAAGTCAAAAAGGTTAAAAACTAAAGTTGAAAGACTTTCATTCTGTTGAGTTGTTCACTTAGAGGGTTCTGTGCCAAAAAATACACACCCTTTGTTTTGTTTTAAACAATTCACACTGGCCGTGTTGGCCAACACTCTGAAGCCAGACACCCTTTCCTAACCTCTTCATTTTAGCGTTGCATGTCTCTGATTGATGTGTCTCTTCATAAAATTCAAATAAGAAAAGGGGATGTCCATGTAAACCATTTCTCTTCTCAGCCTTTGCAGCTGTAACACTTGTGGAAGTTTCCCTGATAGTACTTTCTAAAAGGATTTATACATATTTAGCATTAGCTGCAGTGTTCATCACCTTCATTAAGACCTTCAATATCGTGCATGTGTTCTGTTTGGGAAACGCCTGCAGAGCTCAGCAGGATTTTTCTTCTAAGATGCATAACGAAAGCAAGAGCAGTGTGTATACGATTGGATGACAATGATGGATTTCACCCTTGCATATAATTACAGAGGAGAGAAAATGCTTGAGACAGAGCATGTTTTATTTGTTAATGGCTGAATGGCGTTCTGTTGCAGGTGCATCAGTATCTTTCAGATGTGCTCAATGATTTTTGAGTGACTCTGTTTAATTGCACAGGCTCCCACAAGTTCTGCTAATACCCGTGTATTGAAAGCCACATGTAGCTCACTCACACGTGAAAGAAAATCAATTGGACCTTCACTTCCTCTAAGTAGCAGTTAATCTGAACGAGCACAGGTTATAGTCACGTCCCTTCCCTTACAAGGATGATTGATAAAAACATATGCACGTTATAGACCATGACTGCACTCGTATTCAGGTCTTTTCTGTGAAAGAATTCAATTAAATACCTCTGCTTGATGGACTGGAAAGCTTTTAGAGTTTCCCTGATTAGACCAGCCAACCTGAGTCATGTCTCTAAATGACTCTGGACAAGCAGAATACTTCATAACTTGCCACATTTTTCAAACCGTGGTGCTCCCCCCATTATGAGCCTATAGAGAGTAAAGCCAAGAGAGGATAGGATTGGGGTTTTCAAAAATGCGCCAGGGTAAATTGAGAAGTTGCTATTGTGATGAGTGCCAACGAATTAAGGTACCAGCGTGTGCCTAAAGTAACAGACAGAGACAGATCCAATAGCCAGAGGCATGTGGCCTTAAGCTCACCTAATCTTACAGCCTGTGGTCCCTGGATGTTTTTGTGTGGCTGCCGAAGTGATTCTGAGAGCACGAAGGGACAGAAGTGCTTCTGCACACAGACTTGAGTGGAGAGGTGATGACAGGTTGCTGATCTACAGAAGAGAAAAAAAATAATGAGCTCATGATGACACGCTCAAGACACTTGCTTCATTGCCTGCGCTCAAACACACGCATTCACACGTTGGGAATTTCTCATGGGATCAACAGGTAAATAGTTCACAAAGTGAAAGGCCAGTTTATAGCACGCAGCCTTCACATCCAACCACGCAGCTCTCGCGCCTCCCACCTACATGCTATCCACACACACACGCGCGCGCGCACACCCACACACACACAAGGTTAATCATGAAATAAAAAAATAATAAACTACATAAGCTCGAGAGCGACTGATAAAATGAACTTCACACTTCACACACTACAAGTGGCTTGTCAACAATGTGACAAGATCACATTATCTGCACTCAGTAACAAAGCTTTGGTAAGTGTTATTACGAGCCACATAGAGAACATTGCAGTGGTAATCATCTCAGAAGGCATGGCTTTGACATTATTCTCCCTTTTATTAGCTGTGAATCATCATTATAGATTAATACAAAAGAGCAAAAATAAATTGTTTCTGTTCCTTGCTATGTAAATTATTCAAAATGATTTATTTTGTATATGAACTACTTCTGGGGCCAAGAGGACAGACAAATAATTGTCAAATGTAGTAAATCAGGTGTATTAGCTCATTTGTTAAGACAGCTACTAATTAATTGAATTTCACTCACATGTAGTGACAAATTGGGCAACATAGAAATCTTGCTTTAGTAATCATAAATAAATTTAGGGATGTGCACCCAACAAATGGATAGATTTATCAAAGTAATACTGAAACACTATGAGATTAACTTCAGTAGTCAGCATATTGGTTTGATACAAGGTCATCATGATGGACCTTGGAGGGTTAATAGATAACCAACGTTCCCACTTGAACTTCCAATTTTTGGGACATTTCCATTAGCTTCACCAACTTTGAGCTTGAAAATGTCAATGTTAAAGTAAAAATGTAGCACAATTAGCCTACAACCTGAAACCAATCAGCTGACATAGTGAACAGAAAGCGCTACCTGTTAAACAAACACTTTTTGGGCATATAAGACCTGCAGTTTATTTTCTTCCTCTTTTAATATCAAATTATGTTTACCATTCAGGACTTTTACTGAAATATACTGGGTCAATTTTGTTGCCAAATGTTACGCTATAAGCGCTGGTCACAGTCTGCGACAACCTGAATGTCAAGGACAAGAAACTCCTTGATATTTCTGTCATACCTGAATCCACCTGCCTTTTTCCTAATATGGATTTTAACATTTAAGCATCTCTTTCAAAAGACAAATCACATCTTTTATTTATGACGTGACACTGTGTCTAAGTAACTTTTAGAAACTGTTGATTTCTCATACAAAAACAGGGAACAAAGTATAGTGCAAGACAGAGCAGCTGAATCGATATGACACTCATCACTTGAGGCTTCCCTCCCCCCCCACACACGAGAAGAAATCCCTGAAAACAGCATCTTTATGTTTTAACTTCAAACATGCTCAGTTTACACTGAACAAATTGTTCCCCAGAGACTGTATTCACCCTGAATGTGTTTCTCTCCTGTTTGTCACCGCTTTGATTACTGAGACTATGAAACCCTCTCAATCGATGAGCAGATGCATCTGTTCCAGCTGACAAACAGCTGAAATAGCAACATCTTTCAGGTTATTGAGGCACATGTACCAGATGCAGACTATAGAGTTGAGGTTTATGTAGGATTGCAGTGCAGGTGTGTGTGAGGATAAAAACTTCAGAATCTCGACGCTTGCATTCACTTTCTACTTCGGACACCTACCTGGAGAAACATTAACTCAGATGAGGCAGAATCACCTTTATCCCCTGGACTGCCCATCAGCAGAGACATCTGAATGATTAAAACCATATGTCTTCAGTCTGTGACTTATTGAAGTGCAAGGCAATTAACCACCTTGTCCCCTGGCTGACCAGTTCCAGCACTGTTGCATGAATGATGCACAGCAGGAACGACAGCATGAGAAAGCTCACGTCACATCTTTGGATTTGAGCTACTTTCCAGCCCCATCTTACAGCTTTGTTTGTCACAATGCCTGACTTTGGTCTTGTGTATGTTAATTTTCCTCAACATAATCAAAACCAGTCAACAGAAACCTCACTTTGCATTGCAATCCTGTCTGAAGCACCACGAGAGAATTCCTGATCAGAGTCAGGCTGCACTGTGTGACATGTCTGTGCACAAACAGCCTATTATCTCACCTTTACATTCAAGCTGAGCACTCATATACAACTTTTATGAGACGTCTTGAAGCTCCTCAATCCGTTTTGTAATCACTACGGAGGGATTCTCCTGCATCCTAATATGGGGTGATCTAAAGGTTAGCAATGTTACTACACTGCACAGACTGCCAATGAGATAAACCCCACTGCTGGCCATCATTGTCTCTTGCTGGTGGCTTTGAGTCATTAAGAGTCAGGCCTCATTAGAGAGGCCATGGTGTGGTGCGTCAGAGACACTGGTTTCCCTGGTTTCAGACACATACCTGAATGTCTGATGTGTTTCAAGGCCAGAAGGACACAAAAAAGAAACAGAACTAAAAATAAATGCCAGTCACTGCTTTCCAAATTGCATTTGTGGGGAACGGTGCTTAGACTTGAGTGTTTCTATTGACTTAAACATTATAATCTTCACAATATTTAGATGCAACATTATTTGTTGCTATTTCTTTTTCACATCACCTTGACCTTAGAAAAATTATTTTGTTTGTTCCTTGTTTTTTCCTTTTTGAGGAAAAAAAATATTATATGGAACTAATGAAAGAAGGATTTAGTATTTAGTATTTTTCCATATACTTGTGCATCTGAGTATAAAAGTTCATTGTTCTATATATGGTCTATGGATGCTCTAGTGGGGGGAAAATTAAATGGTTAATTTGATTAATTACACAACCCTACCACCTGAAATTTACAGATGAGTTAATTTTTATCAATTGAGGAACATTTTTGAGTGATACAAGTACCAATAAAAATATTTAGAACAAAACAAACATTAGACATAAAAGTTAAACAGTGTATGACTGGTAATAATTATTAGCTGAATTTATCAGAAATTAAATTGACTACCTTCAGCTGCAGGAAATTCAGGCATTCAGCATGCCAAGATGAGTCTTCATGAGTGCAGACATAGATTCTGCATATCACAACATGAGGTTAAGTTATGATGGAGGTTACTGCTGTAACAACTGAATAGCATTTGTGTCCATTCTCAGCAGAGACACATATGTGCAGCATATATTACCTCAGAATTTCTATTCTGGGTTTACCAGATGAACAAGAAGACAAACATAAGTGAAATCCTGTTTTTATTCTCTGAGGAGAAAACAAATCATTAAGTAGAACTGAGTTATCATGTTTGGCATATTTCAGAATGTGTCTTGCATATAAGTGACTTTATTAATTATGTGATGTCATATGATGTCACGTTTAAGCATATACTTTAAAATATTCATAAACATGAGGAAAAATAAGCTGACAGTGCTAAATTCGTGGGACATATTATGAGTGAATGTGCACATAAATCAGGAACCGTTTCAAAACCGGATGCTCCGGAGCATCAGCCCACAGCTGCAGCACTTCCATGACTTTGATTCGTGTGTGGTTGTTAAGGCACCTGAGAAAATGCTGTGCGTCGTTTAACAGGAGCTTAATTCTGCCTACATGGTTTATTCATGTGGCGACTTCTGATATCACGACTCTCATAAATCACACGGCACAGCACGCCGGACGTCCACGCGTTCGGGCAGGGCTCACTAATCTCAACACCATCTTTCATCAGAATAACCTTGCCTTAATGCGGGGGCAGGCCAACAACAGATACAGCCTACTGGAAGGACGTGCTTGTGCCTCTTTTGTTTCCTTTACTCTTGACACATAGGCTTTCTGTCCTGTACAAACACCCAGGCAGGAATCCTCCCACTTTCAAACCACAGGCAATGTTGAGAAAATGTCTGTGGTTGGACTTCAGAGAAACTTCACTAGTCTAACGTTAGCTTTATGAATGGAGAATAAGTCACTCAGGGGAGGAATGCAGCGAAGCTAGGCAGCCATCTGTTCTGAAGCTGTTCAAAGAAAGAACAGAAAATGTGAAACTAATGTGAGTAAACACGGTCATCAAATATAGATAATAGAACAGAGCACATTGGAACTTTGCTCTCCTTTAGTTTTTTTTTTTTTTACACCGTCAAACACTAGCATGCTGGTTTCTAATTAATTATATTTGGATTCCTTACATACCAGGCACAAAATCTACAGTCACAACGATGTCACCAATTACTAGCTTTTGGCCAACATTTCTCATAAGAAAGCTAATTAGCGAAACAAAACCATTTAATGAACCAAAATAACAGGGTGCTTGATGTCACTTTGCTCTGGCTGCTACTCAGACTATTCACTGCGTTTGCCTCATGCCTTTAATAACCAACCCCGGGCATCACTTTGACTGTCAAATGTGTTGTAATATCCTCTGTGCTACATCTGTCCTCTCTCTGCATCCTGGCTGTGGCCTCCTGCTGCCACCAGGAGGAAGCACCACTTGGGCTCTTACATGGACCAGCAAGGATTTCTCCCCCACTCAAACAATTATCCAGCCTGTGACTGATTGCGAGTAATGAGAACTGCCGGAGAACAGTTGGACATCACTGAACACATTAATATGTGAATATTAGCCTGTTGAACCTTCTGCTCTCTCTCACCACGAGGATCTTCAGTGGAGAACCGAGGGTATTTACCAGACTGCATAGTTATTTCAGAGTAATATGGCTCCTACAGACCTGAGGTCAAGCTCAACAGAAGTAAGGTGTGGATGGGGAAACAAATGAAAAAGACGTATACAGGGCTCCGAACAGTGCAAGGAAAGTCAAGCCGAGCAGCTCGGGATGAAATGCTGAAACAACAGCACGAGTGCCAGGGCAATTTTACACTCCAGTAGTTTCACACCTCAGCCACCAAGCCCTTCCAACTCTGAACCTTGTGTCTTCTGCGTGTCTTCATTTATTTTGTGTCACTGTCCAAGATGTGAGAAGCCAAGCAGTGAGAAACCCGTCCCAAATGTCGCAGGGTAAGCAGTGTGTGAAGAAAAAGGAGGGGTGGGGATGAATGGAAGAGAAAAGCCACTGCACGTGGATGCACTTTGCCATTTTTACAGACCATGCTTTGAGATCTCAAGGGACTTCAAGTCAAACTTTGAAAAACATGTATTGAATAAGTCTGCACTGAGTTCAAGAAACGCACAGATCTTGAATGTAAGATTGGGAGAAACCAACGGGTGGCGAGTTGTTCGAGTAAACGGGGAAAACTTGTGAAACTGCAAGAGCATGAATCTTTATGCTTTGAGATTGCTCCTGGCGTTCCTCAGAGGTCAATTTTGGGTCCAAACCTTTTCTTTTATATGTACATATGAAACTAGATGTGAACACTTATCTGTAAAAGGAGACAGATTTTTTTATTCTCAAGGTCCGTCTAAATACCAGAATAATTAATCAGACATATACTTCATCTTCAGAAGTTAATATTTCCTTAAAATTTGGTAGAACTGCTTTTTAGACTGCATGACTTTGGTCAAATGTTTTGAGTATCCCTTTTCACAATAGTTCCTGGAATTTTGACCCATTCCTCCAGACATAACTTGTGTAACTGAGTCAGTTTTGAAGGCCACCTTGTTCACACACACTTTTTCAGTTTTGCCTATAAATTACTTTCATGAGACTGAAATCAGTACCTGGTGATGGACCCTTCAAAAAAAACCAACATTTATTTTATTGCCTTTTACCAAATTTGTAACTAACTTGAGGATATGCTTGGGGTGTTGTCTATTTTGAAGACTCGGCAGCATTTAAGCTCTAACTTTCCTAAAATGTTGCTTTAATGCATAATGTCCTTTCCTCATAAGTCCACCTATTTTGTTATATGTATCAGTCCCTCCTGTAGTAAAACACCCTAAGAACATAATATTCCCAGTTGTCTAGTTCACAGTTGGAATGGTGTTCTCATGTTTACTAATTTCCACCTTCTTTCCCTTTAAATATAACTATTATCATTATGTCCAAACAGTTCAATTTTACTTTCATCAGAACATAACACATGTCTCTAGAATTTTAAGTCTTTGTCAGTGAGTGCATTACAAACTTTACACCTGCTTTATATGTTGTTTTTGAAATCATTTTTTTTTTTTTTTTTTAGCAACTGCGGGTAATGATTCTTTTCAGCCGGCAACTTCACAAGGACTTTTGTTCAGGACAGATACACAAAAACACATTAATTTACTTTTTGAGCAGTATCAAGTCTGCACAGAATGTTTACACTTACATTATTTGAGCTGATGAATGTGGCACGCTCCAGAATCTGAAAATTGCACTCAAAAATAAACAATTCTTTTGGAGGCCCATAATCCTCTGAGAGATACCTTGCCTGATTTGTTTAGATTTTTTTTGTTGTGACAGAAGGGAGAGGTGTGTTTGAGGTGCCATTCACAGCTGTGCCTGCATTTAACTGACATGTTGTGAATTAACTTATCATAAGCTTACAGAGTAAGGACATCATCAATCAACATCGACCCTTTAACCTCCCCTCAACTATGGTGGCGCTGCACCAAGAACAACTAGAGGAAACGGCTCGGAAACCTCTGAAAAAGACATGAGCGCAACTTCCTTTTTCATGAAACAAACACAAATGGAGTGGGATCAGATATTAGATTTCTCTTTTGTCATTGGTAAAAGAACACAAATCATTTATCCCACAAGCGCGGACCTAAGAGAGGACCTAACAGTGTTTGTGTGAATGCACCCTTAATGTATGTGAAGTGTTGTGTTTAAATGAAGTGTTAAAAAACTCAGTCAAAAATATTTTCTAATCATTCTGGCATTTAGTAAATATAAATAATTTTGCTAAGATCACCTCACACTGAACAGAAGAAACTTAGGATGTCAGACAGTGAGAATTAAACTTTTCAGTGTTTGTAAATGTCTAGTTTCAACTATGTTGTCTTCAAGCCATGGAGAATAACAAGATCATCGCTGTTAACAGTTCTGTTCAGTTCTGAGTGGCTCACAAGAGTCAGAGAAGATACAACATTTAGAAATTGGTCAATGAAAAATATGATTGATAAGAAATCAAATGAAAAAAAAACTATCTGACAAAGATACAAGGCTGATTGTGAATATATGTATAAAAAAAGTTTCTTGTTTATTGTTAGCAATAAAATAAGCTTGAAACCTCACATACATAAATAAATGTGCAACAAATATTTCAGTACTGAAGCAGGCTTACTGTGTTCTGAACCATGAAATAGTTCAAATTCTGTACTCTGCATTGATTTTGCTATTTTTAAACTACTGTGTGAAAGTATGGGGCAATGCTTACAAGGGTCATCAGTAACTACATTATAGAAATTAGCAATAAGGATGATTTATAACACTGGTTACAAAGACAACACAAGTATTTTTTCCCTACATTTAAGAACAATGAAATTCCCAGTTTTGGTACTTTGTCATAATTAAATTACAATATACAAAGTCATGTTTCAATGCTTTCATAACGAAAAGATCCATAACTTAGTTAAAACAGCATTACCAATGCAATATTTTAATGAGATAGATGACCTTTTTTTCATATAGATGTCAGTAGCTATGTACTTTTAAATGAGTATGATTTTGTTGTACATTTTAACATGTATGCCTCAGATGTGTATCAGTCAATTAATCAATATGAAACTATAATTATGATTAAAGTATTTGTCTTTACAAATAAAACTCATGCTACGGTAAGTCAGTACCAACTAACCATAATTCCAAATATTATGGAATTATTTACTGCAATGTAATTCCAGTATATTGAGGTAAAATATACTTTGTTGAGTTGTAGTTTCCTGCATTTGAAAAGCCAGCATGTTGTAAGTCATGCAGAATGAGTTCACAAATTGATGTGCCTAAAACAAAGTTATCTGTGTAAAAGATGTTTTGATGAGACTGTGTCACTGCAAAATTCTTATTTACACCTCTGTATCAATAGTCATTTCTTTCACCAGTATGGAAGTCGTCCATGCTCTGATGCACAAATGTAGCAGCACAGATACTGACTTTTACACCTTGCATTAATAATAACCAGAATCATACACTAGCTCAACACAATTTTCCCCGAAGCTTGGGTAGACATTAATTTATTTTGCACACGCTGTCTGCTTTTCTGTCCATCTCAGATGAGCACATGAAAATGAAGCATTCTGCTAGCATTTCTGTGCAGAACTGATTCATGGGTAATTCATTGCTCATCAGATGCAGAAACTTTACATAGTAAGTGGCAATGCATCTAAATCTGCTGTTTTATAGAGCTCTGTGGTATGACTTGTGTCATGACATAGGGACCACAGTTGTCATGGTCACTACCCAAAGATGTCCTGCCTTAGTCTTTAACACTGAGGTGTATGAAAATTATGTTTTGCCTTCCCACTGTAACCACATTCTTACTCAGGAGAAGAGAAAACTTGACTGTTCTGTATTTTAAATCATTGTCGATGCCTTTTTGGCTGATGAACTCAGCCTTTTTTTCATGGTGTGAACTGGGAGGAAGAAACCCCACCTTGCCAATTTGAATGATTATACCCACTTATAGGTCCATAGCCCTCAAATCCATGATTATTAAATATTTTGAAAGATGGATCAAAACATTTCATCACATCCAAACTGTCTACTAACCTGAACCTGTTACAGTTTGCATGCTGGCCAAGCAGATTCAGAATGCCATAGCCCTCCTCCTCCACAGGATGCTATCCTATATGGACAAAGGTGAGAAAAACTCTGAGAGTGGTCTTTGTGCATTGCAGTTCTCCATTTAATACTATATTACCTTCTAGTCTGGTGTCTAAGACTTATGGCCTGTGACTGGACTCTTTGCTACAGTTTCTTGACATGCAAACCCCAAGTGGTTTGGCAGATTCATCCCACTTCAAGCCCTCTTAGCACTGGGTTGCACCAGCACTATGTAGTCAGCCTAAGGCATGTGTGTTTTCTTATTATCAACCAGGCAAGTAACTTATTTATCAGCGATTTTATTGAGGCATGGTGCCAACTGGGATCCAGAAGACTCATTCATCCAAACATCACAGTCGGTTGGACAGACAACTGTTGCCTTCTCTCATTCCTCGGAGCAACCCAGTCCAGTTGTGAGGATGACAGGGTGAGACTTCTTTCTCAGAGAGAAAAAGAGAGTTAAAGAGCTGAGCTGCTATCCTGCCTGCTGGCATGGAGCCTAATAATCAGAAAGTGCATCCAGTTTCCCAGTGGACCTGAGGTGGGAGAACTCAGTATTACTAAGATGATTTGGAAATGGGCACATAAACCCTTCCTGTATCCCCTTTTTAGAATAAGATAACAATTAGATAAAAGTGGAAATCTTTTCATTCAAGGCTTTGTGAAAATCTGGTGAGGCATAAAGAACTATCTGAGTCGAGGTGGAAATATCGTTGGCTGTTCATACTTATAATAATTATTATCTTGGTTTCTTGGTATATATTTCAAGCAACTAAATATGTGTAATTTTGTGAACACTTTTGCCCATTAAACATATGAAACTGCATACTATTTGCAAAGTTTATTCATTTATTGTAAAAAGTCTGCCTGTCATGACGTGTGGAAATTGTGGTGCAACCATATACAGGTAGACTGGCATGTCAAGTATATTTGAAGATTTTGTAACTTTGTATTAAGAAAATACAAAGTTATAAAAACCACAGGGACCCAGAGCAGAACAAAAAATAACAAAAACATAAAAAGAAACAGCAAGGATATCCAGCAGTACGCGGGATAGATGGGAAGTAACGGGAGGAACCAGCCAGGAGCGACTGAAAAAGAGGTGCTCAAGTACTAGGAGGTTGAATGCTGAAACAATGGACCTGAGATGACTAGCTAGCTGACTAGTCTGCCTTCTGAAGAGATTAGAAAGGCAGACTGAGGGGAGGGAGAGAGAGAGAGAGAAAGTGGCACAGGGGGCAAGGGAGAGTACACAACAGATTAGGAAATGACTCTAATACTAAAGAATAACCAGATCTTCGAAACATGATAGACTAGATTAACAAGGAATAACACCAGAAATAAGCATAACTAGAAACACTAACAAGGACTGAACTAAAGTGAAATAGAAACAAAGTGAGCAAAGAAACAGACCAAGGTACACCAAATAACAAACCAACCTCAAAACTAACACTGCCATCGTTTTTCTATGCACAAATATGTGCATTTACTTATTTTTAACGACCCTACTCAATTGCGCATTTTGTTAAACTGAGTGTGCCACACTGAAAAACAGTGCAGTATTATTTTATGTTGTAAATCTGCTCTTAATGTACAGCCTCTTGTTCTTATTTTTTTACCTTTCTGTAAATCTGTGTGCTACCATTCTGCCTGTGACTTTGCAGCTGGTACATCAAAGGATGTTTTTATTCCATGTAGAGTTATTTCTTAGGGTTATGCGTTGCCCCCTTTTTTGGAGGACTGTATGCATTCCCATTCATTTACTCAATACCCTGAAAGTGTTCTTTGTTATATGCTCTTTGTCTGTCACAATTAAATCTACAGATGAGTGTCTTTCAGAGAGGAGAAAGTTTCCTGTCAACAATTAAAAAAAAAAATAGATATTGTAAAATTTGCTGGTTTAGTTACAACACTCGTCTGTTGTTGGACTTATGATTATTAGACATTTACTAAAAAGTAAAAAAAAAGTAAAAAAAAAATCAAGACTATCATAAAACGAGCATGCTGAACTTGGTACAGGTTAAAATTTGTAATTAATATATGAAATCAAACAGCACTTCTCTTTGTGGGATGGATTTCATGTTTTCAACAAAGTTTCCTAGTTTGGCTCAGAGACATCTTCCACACAGAAAAGCTCAAACTGAAAGCCTTATCTGGTTTCAATAGTTTCTATCAAAAATAAAAAAAAATAAAAAACGTTAAAGTTTCAATTTGCAATGCTATTTGCTGTTTTAACACAACACAGGGCTATAGGAAACTTCAGTAATATTTGTCAACAAAATAGCATTTGGGCCCTTGCAAAGCGTCAACAGAGAAACCATAAATATCGTGACAAGAAACACAGGAGATGTTGAATAATGAATTAATGCCAAAATAAAAAATAACATACACATTTATACAAATTTTAAAGGTTAATTTAGTGTATTATTTTAAAGATAAAGATTCAATGCCAGAAAAAAACTAAATAGCTGTTGTACTATAAACAAACAAGCATCATTCTGCAAAGGGATTAATTTAGTTCTGATGCTAAAGATATGTAACGACCAATCACTGACGAAAATATGGCATATCTATGCACCACATACTGTACATAACCTGCGATTACTTAATTTCTAAATATTTTGCCACAAAAATATAGCATTTGCGCTTCTATTTGATAAAGGAAATAGCATGAAGAGAAAACTTTAGGCACTATAAATAAAACTGCAACTGGACACAGCTGGACAGACTGAAAAATGCAGAATAAACTTCATTTCTTATTCTTGGTATAAAAGGAGAGCCTTTGGAATTTCTCACAGGTCAGATGTGTTTTCATGAAGGAGAGGTTTCATGTCCAAAAATAGTCATTTTAAATGAACTTTTTGTGTCTGCGTGAAAGCTACATCTCCTACACCCCTCTTTAGATCAGTAGTGTACGCCCACTGCTCGTGTAGCGCATTAACCTTCTGGTTCACTAGTCAATGACTGCAAGTGGAATGACCTGCCATCATGATTATTAAATCTGAAATTATGCTCCAGCTGCATTAATGATGCAACCAGGTGATCTCAGTTTGGTGAAAGGAGAGCTCCATCAACTGGATTTGCATCAAAGATGGATGCACTTTTTTTTTTTCCTTTTCTGTTGCCAGCTCAACCTTTCAAACGTCCTTGAATCCACTTGAACAAAACACATCTACTTAGATTTAATGCTTTAAAAAAATTAAAAATGCCTCTTGCAATGCCCAGGCTGATGGATACAGAAGTATCCGTATTTTCAATGAATCCAATAATTTATTTTATAATTAAGATGTTATAGGTAACCGCTGATGAAATTACATACATTTTCATGATGTACAAATTAATATGGTCTTATGTCATAATGTAATGAAAACAATGGTGGCTATGTGATTGTTAAATTGAACTCTTTTGGGTCGTTTGTAACATTCTCCAGCTGGTTAAGCATTACTATCTTTCTTTGCTGGACTGTTTCTGAGCTCATTTTTCCTAGGCATTTTTGTGCAACACTACATTTTAACAAACATGTTATAATGTTATAGCTTTTTAAATAAAACCTGAATAATTCACTCTAACTGACATCCCTTGAAATGACAACACGGTATCTTATTTCATCTTCCAATTAGCTGCTCATCTTTTAGAAGTTGATGTTTATCTTGCCTCCTACAAGCACTTAATCTTTTTTTTTTCTTTAACAGATTATGTCATGTTACAATTGTGTTCAGGCTTTTAGCTTACAATGGTTATAATTACTACGATGTCTAAAGTCAAGAAATATGTAAAAAGCATGAACGAAAGGGCACACAAAGAAGCACAGAACACAGCCAGAAGTCACAAAACAGAGATGATGTTACCAGGGTCGTATTTAGGAGGATGTGGGCTCCTGGACTTCAGCTAATTTATGGGCCCTGTTCACAAAAAAACATCTTAGGGGATGTAAGAAAAAATGATGTTTATGTTGTGTAAAACATGATGACAACCTGCATCATTTTGAAGTTTCCAAAACCAGAAAAAAGCAATCGGTGTAAGTGGTATAAATTGTAACACTAGTACAATACACATAAAAGTCATTTGAACACATATATGCACAAATAGGAATAACCTAACCAGCAAAACCAAATCCTTTTGCTCTGGAGATTCAAATAAAGCTTCAATTGCATGACTTTCACTTGGTAGAAACTTCAGAAGGAGCTCGTGAGAGTGTCCTTCAGGTGACACATATCTTAGGATGAATGTAAGTTGAGCAACACGTGCAATATGTAAAGTCGAGTTAATAACTGACATTGAGAAGTTTTTTTTGTCCATTTTCACTTTACTGGATGTTTCTGATAAAACACAATTACGAATGAAACTGTCACGTTTTAGGAGAATGATACGAAGGGGTGCCTGCACCAGCATTGAAAACAGGAGTGGGAAGAATAAATGTAACCAGCTGCAACCGACCACTGACTGCCATTTTTCTCTATGTAAAGATTTTAGACAGAGGTAAAGCTCCCTGTTCTAGTTCTGTATACCCACGCCTTGATGGGTACATATGATCTGGAGCCGATCTTCTTTGCCAGACCACCACCATCTTTTGGAGCTACAGCTTGACTTGGCTTGTATTGCTAATTCCCTTGTTTCATTATCCTAGGGCAAGAAATATTTCAAACTAAATATTTTTAGTGAACAAGGCCTACTCTCCTCATTTTTGCAAATCTCACCCACTCTCCTTACATTGTACAATATTTCTGAAAACAAACAGTGCCCTTAATCCCTACCACTAATGGCATAATTTTGTAAGAAATACCTTTTAAAAACCCAACAATGTTCAGTTTCCAGCAATAGGCATCGTATTTCATTTAAAGTCAATTTCAGTTGTAGAAACCTGAGGATCAAGAAGTTTAGAAAAATGTGATTGAGCTACTTATCCATCACTGAAAAAGGTTGGTGTGACTTATTTTTTTGCTTTTCTGGTTATAAAATATTATCTCATTAATTACATATAAATTACTTTATACATTTTATTTCATTATATTTCACTGGTCT